CTCCACCGATCTAAAAGATAGTAGGAACTGCTGATGCTGGAGATTCTGAGATAACAAGGTGTGGAGCTGGATGAACACAGCAATCCAGGCAGCATCATGGGAGCAGGAAAGCTGACGTTTTGGGTCTGGACCCTTCTTCAGAAATGGGGGAGGGGAAGGGGTCTCTGAAATAAATAGAGAGAGGGGGAGGCGATGAAAGAAGGTGGATAGTGGAGCAGATAGGTGGAGAGAAGACAGACAGGTCAAAGAGGTGGGGATGAAGCCAGTACAGGTGAGTGTAGGTAGGGAGTTGGGATGGGGTCTGGTCAGTGAGGACGGGGGTTGGGGGGAAAGGTGGGAGGAAAGACAGGTCAAGGAGGTGGGGACGAGAGGGGGGTGCTGGTCTTGGGATGAGGTTGGGGGTGGGGAGATTTTGAAGCTTGTAAAGTCCACATTGAGACCATTGGGCTGCAGGGTTCCCAGGCAGAATATGAGGTGCTGTTCCTCCAGTTTTCGGGTGGCATCGTTGTGGCACTGGAGGAGGCCCAGGATGGACATGTCGTCCAAGGAGTGGAAGGAGTTGTTGAAGTGGTTCGCGACTGGGATGTATTGTCATTTGTCATGAACCGAGCGGTCTCCAAGCCTCCGCTTGGTTTCCCCGATGTAGAGGAGGCCTATCGGGAACAGTGGACACAATATACCACATTAGCGGATGTGCAGGTTGCATCTGTTCGATGTGGAAGGTTTTCTTGGGGTCTGGAATGGAGGTGAGGGGGGAGGTGTAGGGGCAGGTGTAGCACCTCCTGCGGTTGCAGGGAAAGGTGCTGGGGGTGGTGGGGCTAGTGGGGAGTGCGGAGCAGACGAGGGAGTTGTGGAGAGAGTCGTCCCTCTGGAAGGCAGATAAGGGTGGTGAGGGAAATATATCCTTCGTAGTGGGGTCAGATTGCAGGTGGTGGAAGTGGCAGAGAATGATGCGTTGAATCCGGAGGTTGATAGGGTGATACGTGAGGACAAGGGAAATTCTATCTTTGTTGTTATTGTGGGGAGGGGGTGTGAGGGCTGAGGTGCGGGAAATGCAAGAGATGCGGGCGAAGGTGTTTTCGACCACCGTTGGGGGGGAAATTGCGGTCCTGAAAAAACGAGGACATCTGGGATGTCCAGGAGTGGAACACCTCATCTTGGGAGCAGATGTGGCGGAGATGAAGGAATTGGAAATAGGGATAGCATTCTTGCAGAAGGTGGGTGAGAGGAGGTGTATTCTAGGTAGCTGAGGGAGTCGCTGGGCTTGAAATAGATAAAAGTTTTCAAGTGGTTGCCAGAGAGGTCCAGGAAGGAGAGAGAGGTATCAGAGTTGTCCAGGTGAACTTAGGGTTGGGGTGGAAGGTGTTGGTAAAGTTGATGAACTGTTCGAGCTCCTTGTGGGAGCACAAGATGGCGCCGATACAGTCATCGATGTAATAGAGGAAGAGGTGGGGGATAGTGCCAGTATAGCTGCGGAAGAGGGACTGTTCCATTTATCTTACTAAGAGGCAGGCATAGCTTGGGCCCATGCGGGTACCCATGGTCACCCCCTTTGTGGGAAGTGGGAGGAGTTGAAGGAGAAGTTGTTAATGGTAAGGACGAGTTGGGTTAGGTGGATAAGGGTGTCGGTGGAGGGGGACTGGTGGGGCCTGCGGGAGAGGAAGAAGCGGAGGGCCTTTAGGCTATCTGCATGGGGAATGCAAGTGTATAGAGACTGGACGTCCAAGGTGAAGATGAGGTGTTGGGGGCCAGGGAATCAGAAGTTTTGGAGGAGGTGGAGGGCGTGGATGGTGTCACGGATGTAGGTGGGGAGTTCCTGAACCGGGGGTAGAAAATGGAATCGAGATAAGTGGAGATAAGTTCGGTGGGGCAGGAGCAGGTGGAGACAATGGGTCGACCAGGGCAGTCGGGTTTGTGGATTTTGGGAAGGATAGAAATGGGCGGTGCGAGGTTGGGGAACGATGAGGTTGGAGGCTGTGGGTGGGAGGTTCCCTGAGGTGATGAGGTTATGGATGGTCTGGGAGATGATGTTTTGGTGGTCAGGGGTGGGATCATGATCAAGGGGGCAGTAGGAGGTGGTGTCAGAGAGCTGGCGCCTGGCCTCAGTGATGTAGAGGTCAGTGCGCCATACTATAACTGCGCCTCCCTTGTCTGTGGGTTTTATAGTGAGGATAGGGTTGGAGCAGACGGAGCAGATGGCTGCACGTTCTGTGGGGTAGAGGTCGGAGTGAGTGAGAGGGATGGAGAGGTTGAGGCGATTGATGTCGTGATGGCAGTTAGAGATGAAGAGATCGAGGGAGGGTAGGAGGCCTTGGGGTGGCGTCCAGGAGGATGGGGTGTGTTGGACACAGGAGAAGGGGTCAGTAGAGGGAGGGTTAGGCTCGCGCTTAAAGAAATAAGCGCGGAGGCGGAGGCAGTGGAAAAACTGTTCAATGTCCAGGAAATTGAGAAGTAAATTTGTAAGGAGGTCTCAGATATCTGTAAGAATGATAGAGTCATAATGGTAGAGGACTTTAACATTCCAAACGTAGACTGGGCCTACCATAGTGTTAAGGGCTTGGATAGAGAGGAATTTGTTAAGTGTGTACATGAATTTTTTTTTATTCAGGATGTGGATGTACATACTAGAGAAGGAACAAAACTTGACCTTCTCTTGGGAAATAAGGCAGGACAAGTACCTGAGGGGTCGGGGGGAGCATTTTGGGGCCAGTGACAATAATTCTATTAGTTTTAAAATAGACATAGATAAGGATACAACTGATCTAAAAGTTAAATTTATAAATTGGAGTAAGGACAATTTTGATGGTATTAGGCAAGAACTTTCAAAAGTTTATTGAGAGAGGCAATTCGCAGGTAAAGGGACGGTTGGAAAGTGGGAGGCCTTCAAAAGTGAGAGTCCAGATGCAGAATGTTTCTGTTAGTGTGAAGGGCAAGGCTGGTAGGTGTAGGGAATGCTGGATGACTAGAGAAATTGAGGCTGTGGTCAAGAAAAAGGAGATACACGTCAGATATAGACAGCTGGGATTGAGTGAATCTTTTGAGGAGTATAAAGTCAGTAGATGTATACTCAAGAGGGAAATCAGGAGGGCAAAAAGAGGACGTGAGATAGCCTTTGCAAATAGAGTTAAGGAGAATCCAAAGAAATTCTACAAATACATTAAGGGCAAAACAGTAACTAGGGGGAGAATAGGGCCTTTAAACAGCAACAAGCCTGTCTATATGTTGAACCACAGGAAAGCAAGTATTTACTGTGGAGAGGGATATAGAAGCTACAGAACTTACAGAAATAAATAGTGATATTGTGGAAAGCGTCCAAATTACAGAATAGGAGGTGCTGGACGTCTAAAAACTCATAAAGGTGGATAAATCCTCGTGACCTGATCAGTGGATCCTAGAACCTTGTGGGAAGCTAGGGAACTGATTGCTAGGCCCCTTGCTGAGATATTCATATCATCAATAGCCACAGGTGAGGTTCGGGAAGACTGGAGGGCAGCTAATGTGGTGCCATTATTCAAGAAACGTGATAAGGAAAAGCCAGGGAACTACAGACCCATCAGCCTGATGTCAGTGGTGGGTAAGTTGTTGGAGGGGATTCTGACAAAGGGGATTTACATGTATTTGGAAAGGCAAGAACTGATTTGGGATAGTCAACATGGCTTTGCGCATGGTAAGGTGTGTCTCACTAACTTGATTGAGTTTTTTGAAGTGCCAAGATTGTTGAAGGCAGAACGGTGAACGTTGTCTATATAGACGTCAGCAAGATGTTTGACAAAGTTCCACATAGCAGACTGGTTAGCAAGGTTAGATCACATGGAATCCAGGGACAGCTAATCATTTGGATACAAATTTGCTTGAAGGTAGGAGACAGAGGTTGGTGGTTGAATGTTGGTTTTTCAAACTGCAGGCCTGTGACCAGCAGTGTGCCATAAGGATTGGTACTGGAACCACTGCTTTTTGTCATTTATATAAATGTTTTGGATGAGAATATAGCAGGGATGGTTAGTAAGTTTGCAGATGACACCAAAACTGGTGGTGAAGTGGACAGTGAAGAAGGTTATGTCAGAGTACAACAGGAATTTGATCAGATGAGCCAAGGAGGGGAGATGGAATTTACTTTGCATAAGTGAGGTGTTGCATTTTGGCAAGACAAATCAGGGAAGGACTTACATAGTCAATGGTAGAGCCTGGGGAGTGTTGTCAAACAGAGACTGAATCATTAGTTCTGGTCTGCAGATATATAATTCCTTGAAAGTAGCATCACAGGTAGCGAGGGCATTGAATACGGGAGTTGGGACTCATGTTACAGCTGTACAAGACATTCATAAGGCCACATTTGGATTTCTGCATACAATTCTGGTCAATCTGCTATAGGAAGGATGTTATTAAAATGGAAAGGGTGCAAAAAAAATTAACAAGGCATTACCGAGACTGGAAGGTTTGAGTTATAAAGATAGGCTGGGACTGTTTGGCCGGGAGGCTGAAGGGTGACCTAGTAGAAGTTTATATAAGAAGGGCATAATAAGGTATAGCCATGATCTTTTCCCCAGGGTAGGGGAGTCCAAAACTAGAGTGCATAGATTTAATGTGAGAGAGGACATATGTAAAAGAGACCTAAGGGGCAACGTCTTCACGCAGAGGGTGGTGTGTGTATGGAATAAGCAGCCACAGAAAGTGGTGGAGGCTGGTACAATTATAACATTTAAAAGGCATCTGGATGCGTATATGAATAGGAAGGGTTTAGAAGGATATGGGCCAAATGCTGGCAAACGGGACTAGATTAATTTAGGATATCTGATCAGCATGGACAAGTTGAACCAAAGTGTCTCTTTCCATGCTGTACATCTCTGTGACTTTATGACAGTTACAGTATGGAGTCCAGTACATAGATTCAGTTGTTGATCATGCCATTGGACCCATGCTCTCTGTTAAACTCCTGTGAAAGTAAAAACCTGAGACAGCCAGTCACTCTGGGCTTCAGAATGAATTAAACCAAGTCAATGTGCGATCTGTAATACCTGTTTATTTCACACCACCTCCTGCCAGATACATAGGAGATTAATTAAAACGCAACCACTTCCTACATCAGGCTTGAAAAGTCTCCTGCTTTCCATTTGGCAAAAATATTCATTATATCCATCTCCAAACATCTCCTGTACAGTGGCTTTGTTCGGTTCCCCAGCAACTGATGAAACACGGTCTTGTCAACGGAGATCCCAGGCCCTGCAACTCCTTCAGATATTGAGATGCTCGACAACAGATCCATTTCAGCTTCCTTCACCTATTCAGAAACTCAAACACAGTCACAAGTCGGAGAGCGTGCAATATGAGCTACCCAATGAGGATAAATACTGCTCAGTTCATTCCAGAAGCTTCTATTCTCTAATTTGGGCAACTGGTCAGCCAAGACCAAGACAGAGCCAAGGACAGTACAAGTCGGGTGAGCTTGCCCCATGATTAGTAAACCCAGTTTCTTATTGTAGCATATCTGTCTAATCCTTCATTCAGAGGCGAAAATAGGCTGTGGCAGGGGAAAAAAATACATTAAACAGAGAAAGCAGCAGCAGGCGGCAACAGAGCAAGGATTCAGGGCTGCACAGTGCTGGCGGTCTTGTGAAGAGTTTGTCAGGAGCTCACGAGGACTGCATAATTGGCAGGATAGAGTCCTAGTTGTCCATTATCCAGTTGACCCTTACACCAGCCCTGTTCATCCTCTTCACCGATCTTCATGAACTCTTCACCTGTTGGGAAAGTTGACAAGAATAGAGATTGAAACCAACCTTTGCTGATGAGAAAACAAATTAGGATGTGATCACTCAGCCCTTCGAGCTCACTCCCCCATTCAATAAGATCATGGCTGACCTGTTTACTCCACATTGCTACCTTTTCCTGATAATCTTTCATCCCTTTACTTAACAAGATGTCTTACCAAAATGTCCTTGGCAAGTAAGTTTAAGGAGAATCCTTATGTATATTACCAGCAAAAGGGTAACTAGGGAAAGGTAGGTCCACTCAAGGATAAAGGAGGGAATTGATGCGTGGATCCAGAGGAAATGGGTGAGTTCCTTAATAAGTACTTAGCATCGGTATTCACACAAGGAGAAAGACATGAATGATGTTAAGTTTAGAAAGGGGTTTGTTGATATTCTGGGGCATATCAATATTAAAAGGTGGTGATATTGGCTGTATTGAAAAATATTAAGGTAGGTGAGTCCCCATGCTCTGTTGGGATCTATCTCAGAATATGGAGGATGGCAAAGGAGGGGATTGCTGAGGCCTTGAAAGTATCCTGTTCAGCCACAGGCGAGGTTCCAGAAGATGGGAAAATAGCTAATGTTGCCCCTTTGTTCAAGAAGGGCAAAAAGGATAATCCAATATCTGGGAAATTATAGGCTGGCGAGCCTTACTTCAGCTATAGGGTAATTATTGAGAAGACACTTAGGGACAGGATTTACTTGCATTTGGAAAAGAATGGAATTATTGGGAATAGTCAGTATGACTTTGTGCAGGAGAATTATTGCCTCACAAATTGGATTGAGTTTTTTAAGGAAGAGATAAAGATGATTGATGACAGTAGGGCTGTATGTTGTTGTCTACATGGACTTTACTAAAGCATTTGACAAGACCCCTCATAGTAGGCTGGTCCAGAAGACGGGATCCATGGTTTGTTGGCAAGTTGGATACAAAATTGGGTGGGACCTAAACAGTAGTGAGATTAAAAAAAATGTTGAGACTAGTGCAGCAGTTAAGGAGATCGAGTTAAATAGGCCAGGAGGACAAGAGCATGGCAGGAAACGAGGGAATACTGATGAATTAAACTACATTTATTTCCATGCAAAAGACTTGACAGGCAAGGCAGATGAATCAGAGAGGGATGGTAACATGTGAGTGAGATATCGTAGCTGTTACAGAATCATGGCTGAGGGAGGACAGGACAGGCAGCTCAGTGTTCCAGGGTATAGATGCTATACGAAGATAGAAGGGTGGCAAGGGAGGACGGTTTGCGGTGTCTTAGATTAGGGAAAACATTACGGCAGTACCGAGAAAAGATATTCCTGAGATTGTCCAGTGAGGCTACATGTTGGAACTGAGAAATAAGAAGGGGTTAATCACTTTGATGGGACTGTACCATAGCACCCTCCAATAGTGAGCAGGAAATTGAGGAGAAAATATGTTGGGAAATTGTTGACTTGCTCACTGAGCTAGCTTGCTTTCATTCTGACGTTTCGTAGGTAACATCATCAGTGAGGCCTCCGATGAAGCGATGTTGTTCTGCTCCACTTGGAATTTACACTGTCCGGTCCGTTATGGTCAGTAGTGTCATTTCCAGTTTTGATCTGTTTGGGTTTGTATATGGGGTCCACTTCTATATGTTTGTTGATTGCATTATGGGTTGAGAACCATGCCTTTAGGAATTCCCGTGCTATGTTTGGCTTGGGCTACTATGGTTGTGATGTCCAGTTAAACCGATGGCCTTCATTGTCTGAATGTACAGATATTAAGGAGAGTTCAGCGTGTTGTTTTGCTGCAAGCTGATGTTCGTGTATTCTGACGGCTAGTTTCCTTCCTGTCTGTCCGATGTAATGTTTGTGGCAGTCATGCCTTAGTATTTTGTAAACTACGTTGGTTCTGCATGTTGTGGGAATAGGGTCTTTAATCTTTGTGACCGTTTGTCATAGAGTGGCTGTGGGCTTGTGTGCTACCATGATTCCTAGTGGTCTTAGGAGTCTTGTTGTCAGTTCTGATATGTTCTTAATGTGGGGCAGTGTGGCCAGCGTGTTAGGGCGTACTGTGTTGTCTTGGTGTCGTCTATTTACTAGGCACCTGCGGATGAAGTTGCCGGGATATCCGTTCATAGCAAAGATTTTGTCTAGGTGCTTTTCCTCTTTCCTGCATAGTTCTGGCGTGTTGCAGTGAGTGGTGGCCCATTTAAATAGTGTCCTAACACAGCTTTGTTTGTGGACATCGGGGTGCTGCTGTGGAGGTTGAGGATTTGGTCAGTGTGGGTTGCTTTCCTGTATACTGAGGTTTGGAACTCCCCATTGGTCATACATTCAACTCTGATGTCCAGAAATGGAAGCTGATTGTTTTCTTCTTCTCTCTTGAATTTAATCCTCAAGAATACATTGTTGATGAGGTGGTGGGTCTCTTCTAGTTTGGTGCATTTAATGATGACAAATGTGTCGTCCATGTACCGGATCCACAGTTTAGATTGAAGGAGGGGGAGGGTAGTGTGTTCTAGTCTTTGCATCTGTGATGAGTCCTGAGATGGGTGACCCCATGGGTGTACCATTGATCTGTTTGTATACTTGACCATTAAAGACAAAGTGGGTGGTGAGGCACAGGTCTAGTGGTTTGAGTTGTTATCATTACTGATGGAGCTGCTGGTCTGCGTTCCTGCTTCTTCTAGTAATGTGGCCTGCATTTCTTTGGGTAGTAGGATTCAATTGACATGAATAATGCTGTAACATCAAAGGATATCATAATCTTGTCATTGCCGGTGTTGTGTCTATCGCCACCTGTTGGAAACTCCATTAAAAGACAACAGAATCATGGAAGAAACACAAGCCATCTGACAACCTATAATACCCACACTAAGCTGAAAGAACGAATGGAACACCCTGAACACATCAGAGAGAAAAGCACTAGACAAACTCAAGAAAGACAAGAACGTTATAATCCTACCAGCGGACAAAGGGCGCATGACCGTCAACATGAACAAATCGGACTACATTGAGAAAGCACAGGCACTGCTTGCAGGTACAAACACTTACCAACAGGTGGCGACAGACCTAACACTGCAGCTAGGTAATTGAATCACCCAGACACTGAAGAGACTAAAGGATGCAGGACTACACGAGAACGAAACTAGAAGGCACAAACACCTCCCCGCTTCTATGGACTTCCTAAAGTACATAAACCAGACATCCCCCTCAGACCCATTGTTTCCCTACCGGGCACACCTTCACACAAACTGGCCATGGACTTACAACACAGATTGAAACACCTAGTTGACGGATCACCCCATTCCATCCACTCAACCCAAGAATTCCTCAATACCCTCAAGAACATAAAAATCAGCGATGATGCTGAGAAGGACAGCAGGGATAGGCCAGGTAATTAAAGACCAGTTAGTCTGATGTCAGTAGTAGGGAAATTATTGGTAAAAATTCTGAGGGGCAGGATTAATCAACATTTGGAAAGGCAGGGATAGTCAGCACGATTGGTTGTAGGGAGGTTCTGTCTGACTAATTTATTTGAGGTTTTCGAAAAGGTGACTAAATATACTGATGGGGGTTGCGCAGTTGATCTGGTTTACATGGACTTCAGTAAGGTCTTTGACAAGGTCCCCCACATGGAAGACTGGTCCAAAAGGTAACAGCCCATTGTATCCAAGGTAAACTTGATCTAACATTGGCCATTGCCTCCTATTTGGAAGCCAATGTTGGAGGGTTGATTGAGATTGGAAGCCTGTGACCAGCAGTGTATTGCAGGGATTGGTGCTGGGACCCTTGCTGTTTGTTATGTGCGTTAATGACTTGGATGTGAGTGTGGAAGGTACAATTAGTAAGTTTGTGGATGACATGAAAATTGGTGGTGTTGTTGATAGTGAGGAGGATGGTCTCAGGCTACAGTCTGCTACTGATCAGCTGGCAAATGGGTAGTGCAAATGGCAGATGGAATTAAATCCTGATAAATGTGAGGTGATGCACTTTGGGAGGTCTAATAAGGGAAGGATATACAGATTGGATGGTAGGCTCCTAGGGAGTACTGATGTACAAGTCCATAAACTCTGAAGGTGGCAGCCCAGGTAGGCAAGGTGTTGCAGAAGGCATACGGGATGGTTGCCTTCATTATTCAGGGTGTAGAATATGGGAGCAAGGAAGTCTTTTTGGAACTTAATAAAATATTGGTTAGGCCACTGAGGGAATATCGTGCGCAGTTCTGGTCACTACACTATTAGAAGGATGTGACTGCACTGGAGAGACTACAGAGGAGATTCACCAGGATGTTGCCTGAGATGGAAAGCCTCAGTTATGGGGAGAGACTTGATAGGTTGGGTTTGTTTTCCCTGGAGCACAGGTTACTAAGGGGGATCTGATTGAGGTATACTAAAATTACAAGAGGCGTAGACAGGGTAGATTGTGTGAATCTTTTCTCCATGACTGATGTGTCTAAGATCAGAAGAAATAAGTGTAAGGTGAGGAGTAAATGGTTTAAAGGAAATTGGAGAAAAAAAAATTCACCCAGAGTGTGGTAGAAATCTGGAATGCAGTTCTTGAGCGGATGTACAGCAATGGAAACAGACCCTTCGGTCCAACTCATCCATGCCAACCAGATATCCTATATTACTCTAATCCCATTTGCCAGCATTTGGCCTATATCCCTCCAAAATCTTCCTATTCATATACCCATCCAGATGCCTTTTAAATATTGTAATTGTACCAGCCTCCACCACTCCCTCTGGCAGCTCATTCCATTCATGTACCACCGTCTGTGTGAAAACGTTGCCCCTTAGGTCCCTTTTAAATCTTTCCCCTCTCTCCTTAAACCTATGCCCTCTAGTTCTGGACTTCCCCACCCCAGGGAAAAGATCTTGGCTATTCACCCTATCCATGCCCCTCATGATTTTATAAACCTCTATAAGGTCACCCTTCAGTCTCCGATGCTCCAGGGAAAATAGCCCCAGCCTATTCAGCCTTTACTTATAGCTCAAACCCTCCAACCCTGGCAATATCCTTGTAAATCTTTTCTGAACCCTTTCAAGTTTCACAACATCCTTCCTATAGCAGGGAGACCAGAAATGCACACAGTATTCCAGAAGTGGCCTAACCTATGTCCTGTACAGCCGCAACATGTCCTCCCAACTCCTATACTCAATGCACTGACCAATAAAGGCAAGCATGGTAGAGGCAGGGACTCTTGCAACATTTAAGAAGCATTTGGATGAATACTCAAAATGCCAGGGCACAGGCTATGAAACAAGTGCAGGTAAATGGGTTTGCCTATTTTGGTGTTTGTTGGTTGGCGTAGACGTTGTGGGCTGAAGGGCCTGTTCCTATACTGTATGACTCTATGACCATTATTCTGGGGACATGGCTTCAAATCCCACTACATCAGGGGTCATAGTTTGAAGATAAGGTGTTAACCTTGTAGGGCTAAGATGAGGAGACAATTCTTCACCCAGAGGGTGGTGAGCCTATGGAATTCATTTTCACAGAAAATGGTTGAGGCCAAACACTTTGTTTTCTAGAAGGAGGTAGATGTAGCTCTTGTCGCTAAAGGGATCAATGATGTGGTGGTAGGGTGGGATTAGGTCATTGAGCTTGATGATCAGCCATGATCATAATGAATGGGAAAGCAGGCACAAAGGGTTGAATGGCCTAGTCCTGCTTCTATCTTCTATGTTTCTACATGTTGGCCTTCATCACAAGGGGATCTGAACTCAGAAGTAAAGCTGCCTGGCTGCAGTTGAAGTTCCCTTAGTGAGACCTTGTCTTGTATTGTGCGTTCGGTTTTGGTCCTTTTACATAAGGAGGGAATATAGCTGCCGTACAGGCAGTTTGAGGAAGCTGGGTCTGTATTCCTTAGCGTTTCACAGAATGACAGGTGATCTCATTGCTGTGAGCAAAATTATTACAGGACATGACAGGGTGGATGCAGAGAGGATACTTTCAATGGCTGGTGATTCGAGAACTGGGGACACATTGTCAGAATAAGGTATAAGATATTTAAGTCTGAGATGGGGAGAAATTTCTTCAAATAGAGGAGGGCTGAATCTTTGGAACTCTCCCTACCCCAGAGGACAGTGGAAGCTCAGTCATTCAGTAAGTTCAAGACACAGATTGATAAATTGCTCGTTACTAATGACATCAAAGAATCTGGGGAGAGAGTGGAAAAGTGCCACTGAGGAGATGGTCAGCAGTGATTGTGAATGGTGGTGATGGGACATATTCCTGTTACATTCCCATAAAACTTTGCATCATCAACATACTGGAAGATAATACAATATCCTTAGTGCATTCATTAATATAGACTGCAAGTAGCTCAGGGGGCAGCACCAATCCCTGTTGCCTGAATGACCAACAGCTAAACTGAAAATTTCAACAACAGAAAAGGGCAAGGTAAATCAGAAACATTACAAAAATGAAGCTGTGGCAACTGAACATGGGGCACAGATTCAAAGAAGCTGCAGATGACAAACTGAAAGGAAAATTGTTCCTCACAGATTGATGCTCAGCACGGATGACTGAGAGAGAGACTAGACAGAACAGTCCCCTGTCTGCACCCCTCTCCCCTTCACACACCTCATCTCCCCTGCAACCCCTCACCCGCCCATATCCCCTCACATTCCACAACCATACACACACATTCTTCACCATGTCCCCCAACCTCTCACACCCCATCTCACACACTCCACGACCACACACTGCTCCTCACTTCCCCAACCCCTCACAACCCATGACCATTCCTCTCCACTGCCGCCACCCCCTCACACCCTACACAACCACACACACCCCTCCACACTTCCCCATCCACGCGCTCACATCCTACAAGCACACACAACCCTTCTGTGCTCCCCCTTACACCAAATCACATCTCCTCAGATCCTACATCCCCACATACACCTTTCCCCACTCAGTCTATCCTGCCGCAACTCCCCTTGCCCACATTTGACCTGAAGCCACAAGACTTCATAAGGTCTGGAGTCAATGTTGATGTCTCCCAGGGCAGCTCCTTGCTGACTGTATACCATCTCTGTGGGTCTGTGCTGTGGGCCATCAACAGCAGCAGAATTGTACTTCAGCACAATCTGTAACCTCATGGCCTGGCATATCCCCCACTCAACCATCATCATCAAGCCAGTGGAGAGTGCAGAAGGGCAAACCAGGAACAGCACCAGGCATAACTGAAGATGAAGTTTCAACCTGGTGAAGCCACCAAACAGGACTACTTGCACAGCAAACAGCAAAAGCAGCAAGTGATAGACAGAACTAAGCAGTCCCACTACTAACAGATCAGATCCAAGCTCTGCAGTCCTGCCACACCCAGTTGTGAATGGTGGTGGACAATTAACAACTCACTGGAGGAGGAGGCTCCATAAATATCCCCATCCTCAATGATGGAAGAGCCCAGCACATCAGTGCAAAAGATAAGGCTGAAGCATTCGCAGCAATCTTCAGCCAGCAGTGCTGAGTGAATGATCCATCTCGACCTCTTCCAGTGGTCCCCAGCATTACAGATACCAGTCTTCAGCCAATTCGATTCACTCCACGTGATTTCAAGAAATGGTTGGAGACACTGGATACTGCAAAGGCTATGGGCCCTGATAATATTCCGGTAATTGTACTGAAGACTAGTGCTCCAGGACCTGCTGCTCCCCTAGTCAAGATCTTCCAGTACAGCTATAACACAGTCATAACATGCCAGAATGGTCACTTCATGGCACAGGCACACCCTGGCAAACACTCACAATGACACAGTCATATCATGGCACACTCACTTGCACAGTCATACGTCCGCACAGTCCCTGCCAGAATTATTTTCAATTACAGGCAAGCAGAGGCAGACATGAGAATAAACTGAGTCATCCACTTGTTAACCAGATTCATGCAGTGAGTGCTACGTGCAGGATTAGCCAGGAGCACTGACATTCACAGCACAGCAGAAATGGGGGTGGCTCATACATTAACCTGGAACCACAGGAAAATTACAGCACAGAAAGAATCCAATCAGACATTTGAGTCCTCCCTCAGCCTCTGGTCCACAGCCTTGCAGTCTGCTGTGCCTTATGTGCAGATCCAGGATCCTTTTTAAAAGTGTTGGAGACTTCCCCTCAATCATCAAACTGGGCAGTGAATTCCAGACAGTCCTCAGAGTAAAAAAGCATTTCTGTGTCCCTTCTTTAACAGATCACTTTAAACCTGTGCCCCCTGGTCATTGACCTCTCCTCTGGGGAAAATAGGGTCCCCCAGCCCACTCTGTCCAAACCCTTCACTATTTTGTACATCTCGATTAAGTCAGCTCTCAGCCTCCTCTATTCGAACAAAAACAACCCTGGCTGCCCCAATCTTTGTTCTAAGCTGCAATTTCCAAGCCCTGGCAACATTCTTGTAAATCTCCTCTGTACTGTCCTCAGACTAATTATCTCCTTCTTGGAATGTGGTGACCAGGACTGGACCCACAACTCCAGCTCTGGTCTGAGCACAGCCTTGTATCGTTCCAGCAACGCATTCCTGCCTTTGCATTGCATCCCATATACCTTCTTTACCACCTTCTCCACATTTCCCGTCACCTTCAGCGATCTGTGGAGAGGGATTCCACATTCTCTCCCCGCCTTCATCCACTTCGATACCTTCCTGGTGTGCTATGTTCCCTTGCTTTGGTAATGTATAACTTTATATTTCTATGATGGAATTCCATTTGCCACTTTTCTGTCCACTCAACCAAACTATAGATAACACTCTTTAGCCAAGAGCCACCCTCCATACTTCCAGCAACTCAGCTAATTTTTGTATTGTCTGCAAATTTCCCAAACATGCCTCTCACACTAAGTCTAAATCATTAATATATACCAGAAACAGCAAGGGGGCCCACACCTTCTGTAATGACACACAAGTTGTCATGATGTCTGATGCACTAGTACAACATTTTTGGGCTGTCTGCAGGAGCTGAAGAGGACAGTGAATCAGAGTGTTGGCTATATGGAAACTACCGACATCATGGACCAACCAGTCTCCCTGTTTGGACATTGTTAGTTGGATCACTGTAACACTCTACTGTCTGGATGTTTCAATAGTTTGGATGCGGATGATACTGGGAGAGATACAGTATATGCTGTTGGCTCCTCATAATCAAACACAACGGGAACATGCAGAGCATCTACAGCTTGCCATGCAGCACTGCGGAACAAGACCAATGTGTGTTAGTGTGTGAATACCTGCCGAGAAGCTTAGCTCATCAGCCTCCTGCCCCGTGTAATCATACAGTGCTCGAACCCGGACCACAGGTACCTTCTCCTCATCCTCCGAGCACAGAGTCGACACATATTTCCTCGGGCTGTCATCATCTGACCAATCGGATGAGTAATCTTTAACTCCACTGTAGGACAATACACAGATCAATGGGACTTTATAGTACGTATGTGTATGGATATTGTATGTAGTAGAGGTGGGGAGAGAGACGGTGGGAGAAAAAGGAGACGGGGAGAGATATAGAGAAAGCAGACAGGGAGCAAAGGAGAGAGTCAGAAAGAGGAGACAGGAGAAAAGAGAGAGAGAGACAGACAGAGAGAGAGAGGAGACAGGGAGGGAGACAGAGGGGACAGGGTGGGGGGAGAGACAGAGAGAGGGAGGGGAAGGGGAAGAGGGGGGGGGGGGGAGAAAGAGAGAGTGAGGAGAGAGCGAGAAGACAGAGACAGAGAGAGAGATTGAGAGAGAGAGAAGTGGGAGACGGAGAGAGGTTGAAAGATGAGATGAGACAAGAGAGGAGATGGCAGAGAGAGAGAGAGAGAGAGAGAGACAGAGAGAGGGAGGAGAAGACGGGGGTTGGGGGGTAGAGAGAGAGAGAGAGAAAGAGAATGAGCAAGGAGACAGAGGAGAGAGAGAGGGAAGGGACAGGGGAGAGAGACGGGGAGAGACAGAAAGGGTTTGTCTCTTCACGTCCGTCTGCCTCTTTGTCCCTCCCCACAATCTCGCTATCCCTGCCCCTCTGTCTTTCTCTCTGCTCCCACTCTCCACCTCCTCTCTCTCTCCACTAATCCCTACTCCTTGACCCCTCTCTTTCTCCATGTCCCTCCTCCATCCACCATCTTTTAACTTTCTCTCCATTCTTCACTCTCCCTGTCCCACACTCTGCGTTCCACCCTCTCTTCCTCCATCCTCTCCTCTCATTCGCACTCTGTCCCCCTCCTCCCTTCTCTTGTTGTTCCCCCACCCCCCCACCAACTCCATCACCCACTCTCTCTGTTCCTCTCTCACCCACTGTTCTTCTCATTCTGTCCATTCCTCCTGTGGTCTCTATCTCCCTCCCTCTCTCTCCAGCATCCCACGCATCCCATCTCTGACCCCACCCCCTTGGTCTCTCCATCCCTCTCTGTCTCACCGTTCTCCCCTCTCTCTCTCTCTCTCTCTCTCTTAACCCATCCATCTCTGTCCCCCTCTCTCTCTCTCCCCATCTCTGTTTCCCCACACCACCTCTCTCCGACACTCCACCCCACACCCCCATTCGGCACTCCCACTCACGCTCTCTCTCTCTCCATTATCCTCTTGCTCTCTCTCTTGGTCCACCCCTATCCATCCTTCTCTCTCTAATACTCTACACTCTGCTCCTTCTCTCACTCTGTGTCTCCCCATCCCATTTCCCTCCATTCCTCTTGCTCTCCATCCCCTCTCCACGTTCACTCTCTTACACCTCACCCCTCTCTCTCGCTGTCCTCCCTTTCTCTCTTTCCTCCTCTCTCACTCTCAAAGGGAGTGAAGGGCAGGTGAGTGGTGGCCAGAGCAGAGGAGAAGATGATGGGGTGAGGGGAGAGTGGGGAAGAGGGAGATGCAAAGAGAGATAGGGAGAGAGACGGGGGATGGGTCCAAGACAGGTATAGGGGCTGACTGAATACAGTTCTTGTGGATGTTTGGGGGCAGCTGGTATTGAGGGAGTTTCATGCTCAGGGCTCTGTACCTGTCTCCTGGCGAAGAGTGCAATACGACATCAGTGGACGGGATGATGCTGGTGAGGGTCACTTCCTCTACCCCCCGACTACTCTTCTCCTTACGATGAATGGCTCGGGTTGCATCTGGAGCCCACTCCTGTTGAGGGCAAAGAAACACATCTGTGAGGGGTCACAATTCAGGGAGCGTTGTCAAGTTTGGCAGGGGGAGGGATAGAAAGAGCTGACAGAATGGAGAGGGAGGTCCAGGGAGCAAGCCATGTTGTCTCCAACAAACAATATGCGTCGTCCTATACAAGTAACAGAAACACTAGAAATTGCTTCTCGTGTTGATGAAGATCAGTTCCAGCTCCCAGGGTGGTAGCGGTCTTCAGTGACACCAATACTCCCCCATGCTGCCGTGTGCTTTGTGCCAACATCTCCTCATGTGGAGACTTCAAACCAATTCCATCGGCTATAAGGGGATTGGGGAAGAAAAATGTCTGACAGGGATGGCTGTAAAGAAACAGTGGGGAAACAAACATGAAACAGGAAGAAACAACACAAAATGATCAACAAAAATCTATTTCATGAGCAAGAAATCATCACCACCAGCAACTTAGTCAAGCAGTTAAAGGTAATACCAGATTGAAGTAGAAACTGAATATTGCAAACAACAGTAGTATGATTCCATAATTCAAAAGGCAGCTAATGGTTATCAAAAAGTTAAAAGGGAAAAAATAGATTGAGAGTCAAGTAACCAGGAATTTAAAAACAGAGATTCTAAGAGCTTCAGCAAATATATAAAAAGGACAGTAACTAAAGATTGGACCATTAGACACAGAGAAATTATCATGGAAGGAATGCAAGATGAGAACATGAACAAATATTTTCAGTGTAGGACACTGGAGACTCAGGGGTAACCTCAGGATACAGAAAAAGTGGGGACGACTGTGTTGGGGAAGCTGTGATGGGATCTGAAGAAGACTGTGTGCATTAAGACCTCACTGTAGAGAGTGGGCGCTGGAGAACTCAGAAACATAATTTGTTCGCCACAGCTATGCACACGTAAAATTTTGGGCAAAACCCAGCTCAGGACTGGCTCAGTGAAGCTCACTGTTGGTGAAGGGGTGAAGTCAGCAAATATTGGAGAGTTATTTTAGACTTAGGGGAGTGTACAGTCAGATAAGGAGACTGATCAACTAAGACACACAGTAACTGAAGTAGTCCATGACATAGCAAAGCCAGATAAACAAATATGAAAAGTTGTAATGCTTTGAGAGATTTATGAATGCCTTGGAGGCATTGCTGAGAAATCAGTGGGATCAGCCTGGGTCCCATCTGCTCTTTGCTTTGTACTGTGGGCTGTATGATCACAGTCATAACCCATATTTACTATGATCATTCTGGATTTCAGAAATAAATTAGACACACATCACAGATTGTATTACTACTCTAACATTGTATGGTAAAGTTTGTCATAGTTACTTTAAAAACTTGGGATCTTCTGGCTTTACTCCCTTAGTAAATCTGCTAGATCTTACCTTATGCACATTTTAAAAAACAAAGATTACTGGTCCTTAACTAGACTGTAAGTTAAATTTGGCGGGCTAGTCCAAGATTGTAACAAAAGGTTAGTACACAGGCTAAGGGCTTGTGGAGTTGGAGATAATGTGTTAGCAATGGATTGGATAACAGACTGGAAGAGAGGAGAGATAAACAGGTATCTCCAAGTTGGCAGTCTCTGATTGGTGGAGTGCAGTGCTGAGGCCTGAGCTATTTACAGTCAGGGCTTACAGACTGCAATGAAAGGTGTGAGATTTATCTACAATAAAATATAATTTATTTGTCAGATTCAATTTTTGAACTTAAACTAGTGGCATATAATTTTCTGCATGTCTGAAGGGGTTTAATGATTAACTTGTACATATTTCTGTAGCCATGGGGATGTCTTTTAAAATACAATATGTGGGAACTACTTCCTGGAGATTAACAAGGTTTTGTTTATATTGGGAGAGTTTGTTAGGAAACAAAGTAAATAGTGTAATATATTAAAGCTTTTAGAGACAGAATTCCAGAATTGTCTTCATGGAACATCTGTATAGCTTCGTGGAACACCTGTATAGCTTGGAAAATAGTTTTTTTAGCTTCAGTTTAGGCTGTCCTGTAGGTTTTTTAGCTGAGATTAGATGTGTAAAGCAGTTGCTCCTGAGAAAGGAAGAAGATAGTTTAGAATTATTAAATGAAAACTGAAAGAACTGTGGATGCTGTAAATCAGGAGCAAAAGCAGAAGTTGCTGGAAATGCTCAACAGGTCTGGCAGCATCTGTGAAGAAAAAATCGGAGTTAACGTTTTGGGTCCAGACCCCAAACATTAACTCTGATTTTTTTCTTCACAGATGCTGCCAAACCTGTTGAGCATTTCCAGCAACTTCTGCTTTTGTTAGAATTATTAAAAATAGGTTACCTCAGTTCAAGAAACTTAGTTGAAGAGTTCCAGATCAGAAGTGTTTGGTTAAAACTCTGGAGGGTTTATTTGAAGCTAAGAAAGTTTGAATGACAAATGGAGGAAGAGGATATCAGATCCTCACACCCAGAAATTGAAGTCACAGCTAAGTCAAATGCAATGTAGAAGAGAGAAGAATATTCTTGCTCTGCTGTTTGAGTATTGTAATGGTATTGTATTTGTACTGTGTGTTTTAAAATCTTTAAACGTGTGTTATATGTAAATAGTTTAAGCTTTTCTATTTTATCTTTAGTTCTCTTACGTAACAAACTTCTGTTGTACTGTTAAAATTGAAACTACAGCATACCTTTTTCTTCAGAAAGAGATTGCTAAAACCAAAATATATAAAATATGATCTATTAAGACAGATTTCAGTCTTGAATTTGAATTGTGCACCAGCTGGGATCGTAATAAAAGATTACTCTGCCTCTGTCAAACTTTGCTGATTATGCAAATCTATGTGGGAATGAAAGCTGTGAGGAGAACACATAGAGGCTGCAAAGAGATATAGGCAGGTTGAGTGAGTGGGCAACAACTCAGATGGAGTATATTGCGGGGAAATGTGAAGTTACTCAATTTGTACCAGAGTAGAAAAGCAAAATATTTTAACTGGAGTAAAGAATGTAAATATTCATACTCCCAGTTACTTGGTTGTGATTGTAAAAGGAATACACAGTTACCATTTGGCAAATAGCATATTTACAATATAATCCCACTGTGCTGCTTCTCAATAGCCCTGTGTTGAGCTCAAACTAATCCTAATGCTAACTGTCATACCTCAATCCTGAACAAAACCCCAATGTCCCAAATCAACCCTAAACTAATCCCCCTGCTGCACTAACTCCTATGGCCCAACATAAATCCCCAAACTAACCCCACTGCCCACTTCCTCCCCATAGCTCTGTATCAATCCCAAACTAATCCCACTGTCCCATGTTCTCTCCGGAGCAGTACTGGTTAGGGGTCATTGTGACGCGGCAGACAACTCACCTCAAACTGTGGCCAGCTCATAGTCATTCCAGGTCCGTGTGTGTTCTGCCACCAGCGTAAGTCTTCCTGCTCATTGGCTGCAGTGATGTTCTGGTACAGGTCCCGGTAGATGGCGTGGAAACTGTAACAAAACCGTTCCTGTGAGAGAATGGAAATGTCTCTTCCCCCCACCTTGATGAGAAAAGCCTTAGAGCTAGGCCGCAATGTGTCAGGTCAGCTCCAATAGTCCCAGTGACAGTCGCAACGAGCAGTTTGAGAACACAGATAGGAGAGGAGCGTGGTACCATCAGAGGCCTCAGCACCTGAATTCAACCTGAGGCTATCAGCAACCCAGTGTCTCGTTGTCCTCTCCAAAGACAATCAGTGGCCCCTCCCCTGGCGCACTCTGTCATCAGGAATCTGTTGACCATCAGCATTGTCTAGCTGGTGATCCAATGACATAAGCACAACATGCAGTCTATGAGCAGCTCACAAAACCTGGAGGAACCCTCTTCTTGCCCACAGCTCTGAGGTTCAACCCTCTCACCTGTCATTGTTGGAGAGGTCGAGGTGTTTGTGGAAGTCCAACAGGATGTCCTTGAAGAATTGGAGTCGCTTCCTCTCAAAGTCCTGGCAGGTATCAAACACTTGCTCCATGTCCTCCATGTATTTGGGGTTGTATTTGTTCAGCTCCTCCAGAGCTTTCACATAATGTTCTTGGCCCTAAACACAAACATGACAGCTTACCACAACGCTCACACACACTGTTCCCCTGCCCAGCCTCCCCTCCAACCCCTCACCTTTAGCCCTTGCCTCCCTTCAATAGTTCACTTTTAACCCCTGCCTCCTCTGTAATTATTCACCTCTAATGTCCACAATCTTTCTTCTGATCTGTAAAGACTGTGTCTTTCTCTTACTGTGCATTTTAAAATAGTGGACTGAAATGAGAAACCGGTGGTTTGAAAAAATGGTTGCATGGTTTGAAAGCAAGGAACGTGGTACAGACCTGACAAGCATTGTAAATAGATGTGAGGACAAGCTGTAATGAAGTGATTGCAGACCAAATGGAGCTCTGTTTGCTAACAAGAATTAGATTGGTCAATGGACTAGTGTCCAGTTATCGATGACAAAAGCTGTTTCGATCCCCACCAGCACAGGAGCTGTCTCTCTGTTCTCTGCAGTGAAACCCCACTTTAAACCCAAAGAAAGTTGATTTATCTTTCCTTCAGCGATTGCTGTGAGCTGTGACTCTTAAATAATAAGTCAGAGGCCTTTGATGAATTAATCAAGCACCCTATGCCTCTTACAAATTAGTGAAAGCATCTGAAGAAGGAAGACTGAGGGAAAAAAAACCTAATCAGCGGATTAAAAACTCAACTGATCTTGTGAATAAAGAGTATAGAACTACTTTCCCAGTTTCCCCTCTGTCCATGTGTATCTCTTCCCCACCTCCATCTATGTCTGCCTGTCTGCAAAAGAGAGAGTAGATAACGGGATTAGAGTTTTGAGTTTGTTGTGTTATATGATGCCTGTTCACAATGTTTACCTGTAGCTAAAGTCTAGTGACTGTAATAAATAATCATTCTTGTTCAGAAACCTGCTCCATGCTTTCTAATAACCTGGGTGAGAGTATCAGGGAAATGATGAATTTTGTATATTTGTGTGTGATGAACTTCTCACCTTTTAACACCATTCCCCTGTCCCCAGCTCCCTCCGACTTCTGACTTCTACCCTATACCTCTAACCCTTTGCACCTTCCCCGCCAACCCAGTCACCTCTAACACCCAGCCCTCTCTTCGTCTCATTTCTCTGACCACATTTAACACTGCATCTCCACTGTACCCCCACCTTTAACCCCTTCAGCTTCCCCTCTATCTCCCCCAATGTCTCTGACCTCTCGTCCTAAAACCTCTGACGTGCCACAACCCCATATGTCTCAATACCTTCCTACTCTCTGACCACTCACCTTTCATTCCCTCATTTTCACCCCTGACCATTCAGCTCTATTCCCTCATTCCTCCAATCTAAGCACTCACTGGTGACCCTTACTCCCACCCATCTTTGCCCCGAATCTCTGTCCCCCTCTCTCTCCCTCACTTTCTCCACTTCCTGTGAGCTCCTCTCCGCACGCTCCTCCAATTTACGGAGTTGATCACGGGATAAGGATTGGTCAGCTCTGCCATTGGCCTCTCGAGTGCGTGCAGTCCTCTCCTCCTTACGTGCACTGTAGTAACTGTGCTTGGCCAGTTCCACCTGGAACAGTGAGAACACACCACACTCAATGCAGACAGCAAGACCACAGCAATAGACTCCTAACCCACACCAACCCCTCACCCACAACCTAGCCGCTTTCCCTCAGCCCAGTCCCTCTCCCTCACTCTCAGCCTAGTCACACACCCACAGTGGGGGATTGGGGGGGGGGGGGGGGGGTGGGGGTGAGTGAGTGAAGGAGTGAGAGGGGAATTTGGGGAGGGAGTGGGGGTGAGTAGGGTGGGGAGGTGCTGGTGGTGAGAGAGGAGTTGAGGGGGAGGTGCCGTGTGTTGCGGGAGTGGAGTACAGGGAGTGGAGTAGGAGAAGTTGGGGGGGGGGGGGGAGAGGGGAGTTGGGGGAGCACGGGGCTGTGGAGAGGGAGCAGAGTGGGAGTGAAGCAAGTGGAGGTGGGGGAGTGTTGGAGGGGCGGGTGGTGGGAGCGAGTAAGAGGGCAATGAGTAGGAGTGAGGGAGGAGAGGTTCAGGTTAGGGTTGCGGAGCTATTGAATGGGAATATGATTATTCACCTCCCAGAATCAGTGAAGCACATGGAGCTAATGAAGAGGGAGCTCACCTCCTTCAACTTCTTGAGCCAGGGTTTCTGAGCTTTGCGGAACTCCTCGTCGGCCTCTCTTGTCTCCTTGAAGCCCCCAATTAGCTGTTTGTGGAAAGAGTCCTTCTGCCACTGCTTCACTCTGTCCGAGTCCACTCCAGACAACTGCGCTTGAACATCCAGGTGTAGTGCACTTAGCTTGTCTGCTGCTGTCATGAACGCATGCCAGGCTTTCTCTACAGTGCCATACTGTGCTCCTGGGTATGAGGGGGAGGCACAGCAGTCAGTGGGGTGGAGGGAGAGATTGCAAATGAATGAGGGAGAGACAGAACGATTGAGTGAGAGAGAGGGAAAGCGAGGGAGGGAAAGCATGAGAGAGAGAGAGAGAGACACACACAATGAGAGGGCAAGAGTGTGAGCAAAAGTGAGACAATTCAGAAGTGCAAGATAGAGCAACAGAGATGAGACAGAGACAGGAGGCGAGTGGGAAGAGGGGGAAACGTGATTGGGTTATCAATGAAAATAAATATCCAACCAGACTCAGAGTGCACATGTAATCCAAAGCCCAAGGATGCTTTCTGCATCCACCCACCATCCACCGCCCGTTTCCAGCTCCCCCCATCCCCCCACCCCCCCACGACCCACCACCCGTCCGGTACCCCCCACCCCCCCAACCTGCTCCCAGACAATCATCCTCCCTTCCATTCCCAGAAACAGCACCTCTAATCCCTCTATCACCCCTAATACCCTTCCCAACAGCCAGTGACACAGTAAACAGCTCAATTCACCTCCAAAACAGCTACCTCAACTGATACTGACACTGACATAGCTCCCAGTTCACTCTGAACTTACAACCTCTGAGCCAGAAACTCAACCATTCAGATTTCAGTCCAAAATATCACAAATTATACATCCCCATGAAACATTGATGGAGTGCTGCTCTCAGAAGGTCAGAGCTGAGGGAGCGCCGCACTGTCGGAGGGTCAGAGCTGAGG